CAATGACCCATGTCTGCAACCTTAAAATCATAAGGTATACAAAGGCTCAAGTAATTCCAGTTCCTAACTCCTATTTAATGTATGAATTACCTCTGTATTTGTCACAAGAGGCCAGCCAGTCAGTCCACACAACTCCAGTGAAAGAAAACTCACTACCACCCAAGGCCGGTCATTTAATTCCAACGGTTTCTAAATGTTGAAAGCCCTCCTTTAAATAATCCAGATCTGCCTCCCTGTAATATACACCTTTGATCATTTTGCCTCCCAAAACCACAGTACTTTAAGTATTTGAAGATTGCTTTCATGCCTATGTAGGAAACAATTTCAACTAGTGTACACTGAATAAAATATTTATTCCCTGTATCTATTGGACACTAATCTCTACAGGAGTAGGAACGTATTTGCCCTTGTCATGCTGCTGATTGAGAAACAGAGTATCAGGGTTGTTAAAAAAAATCTTGAGTTCTGAGTCACAAATATGAGTCAAATCTTAACTCTGCCACCATCTGTTCTTATGACCTTGGGTAGAAGCTAAACCCCTTTGAATCTGATTCCTCACCAGTAAAATGGAAATAATGGTGCCACCTAATTGAGCTTACGGGAATTAAATGAGATAATCTATGGAAAGTGCTTGGCAAAAGGAGGTGGTCAAATAGATGCTGACTGACCTAGGTATCTTCTCATTTTAGCAATGTTCTTTGATAAAGGTAGAAATCAAAAGCATAGGAGACTGTATTATCCAAATTTTCTTCTGAAAAAAATCCATAATACTCAGTATTAAACTAATTAAGCTGATGAACATTTTTGATTGCTTCCTTTTACTTGAGAGAAGATTTAGAGAGGCTCTCATAGGAAGATGCCAAAGTGCTTTTTAAAAACATCTGAAAGTATACAGATGTTAGGGGACAAAGAAAAACTGTCAATTTTAACATATCTTTGCATTTAGTACATGCCACTCTTTAATGGAAAACTCCCATGTGTGGATGGAAAGCAAATTCCACATATTATTTCATTAGATACTCTTTTCCTAGCAGGCGTTCCTCCCCTCCTCTGTTTCTGACCATCTGCAGTACTCCGTCCTCCATGAGGCCTGTCAAAGTTAGGAAATGCAGACCTCTTCCTTCTGTTCTGACACCAGTTTCTCAAGGTTCACAACCATATTTCTGTTTAATTCTTTTGGTTTTTTTTTTTTTTTTTCTCCTCTTTTCAGGAATTACATCCTTTGGACCTCTTAAAGTTGGAGTTGACCAAAAATCCAACCCCATCTCATACTACACATTCCTGCTGAAAAATTACAATCAACCCAGAGCTCCCAGTACCACAAGGGCCCCGTCACAACTGATGCTCCAGCCCAGAGTAGGTCCTAAAGAACTACGCCTGTACTTCCACCTCCAATCTGGACTTTTTTTCTTCTTTTTTTTTTTTTTGAGACGGAGTTTCACTCTTGTTACCCAGGCTGGAGTGCAACGGCGCGATCTCGGCTCACCGCAACCTCCGCCTCCTGGGTTCAGGCAATTCTCCTGCCTCAGCCTCCTGAGTAGCTGGGATTACAGGCACGTGCCACCATGCCCAGCTGATTTTTTGTATTTTTAGTAGAGACGGGGTTTCACCATGTTGACCAGGATGGTCTCGATCTCTTGACCTCATGATCCACCCGCCTCGGCCTCCCAAAGTGCTGGGATTACAGGCTTGAGCCACGGCGCCCGGCTTCCAATCTGGACTTCTATGCCATGACAGCCAACAAGGACCTCAAATTCAACATGTGTAACATGTATAAAACCGAACCACTATCCCTACCCTTAAAGGTCCTATCTAAAGAGGACTGACACCATAACTGCATTCCACCTTCCAACAAATCAATGTCAATCTCCCAGGCTTGTTAAACTCTCTGCTTATGGCCCTGGTGCGGGCCCTTATCCTCTCATTCCTGCCTCTGTGACTCTTCCAATCCATCCTCTACACAGCAGACAGTGATCTTCCAAATATATATATCACTGCCGCCACTGCTTTGCAGTTGCTTCCACAGCCTGTAAGTTGTCCTGGCATGGAGGCTCACCATGGTCTGGTCTGACTTACTCCTAACTGTCTGTCCAGCTTCAACCCTCACCACTAAGTTCCAGTCTTACTAATGTAGCTTAAGTACCTGAAGAGAAGAAGGCATGTTGTTTCATGCTCCCTGCCCCCTGTCACATGCTGTCCTCTCCACTTGGGATATACTCCACCTGTGCTCCATGCCTTGCCAGGTGAAGCCGTATTGATCCCTTCGGATTCAGTGCAAGCATAGTCTCTTCTGTGATAACAGTCCTCTTTCTCCCTGGAGCAGGGAAAAGTAATCCCACCTGGATCAGTTTCTTAGGGCTGCTGTTACAAAGTACCACAAACTGGATGGCTGAGAACAACAGAAATTTATCTTCTGACAGTTCTAGAGGCTGGACTTCTGAAATCAAGGTGTCAGCAGCGCCACCACACTCCCTCTGAAGGCTGTGGGGAAGCACCCTTCCTTGCCTCTTCCTAACACCCAGTGATTGCCAGCATGGTTGCCAGCAATCTTTGGCCCTCCTGGCTTTGTAGCTGCATCACTCCAATTTCTGCCACCATCTTCACATGGTACTCTCCATGTATGTCTCCATGCCCAAATTCCCCTCTTCTCTTATTATAAGGACACCAGTCATTGGATTAGGGTCCACCTTAAACCGGTATCATTTTAACTTGATTACATCTGCAAAGACCCTACTTCCAGATAAGATCACATCCACAGGTACTAGGGAATTAGAGCTTGAACGTATCTTTTTGGAGGACAAAATCCAACCCACCATCTCTGTTCTCCCACAGCATCTGAGCCCATCATAAACACTCACATAGTAATATTACTTCCAGCTCTGTCATCTACCAATAACTTCTCATTTATCTTTATCCTAAGTCTCTGGCATACAGTAGTTCCTCAATAAAAGTTGAAGAATCTGCAAAATGCTTCCTTCCCTTAGACCTTTTCCATTTAAGACTTCCTTTTTTTTTTTACATCACAATTTTCTAACACATTCACACATAAACATGATCATGATTTGGCAGTTTCTGATCATGTGCAGTATTGAGACATAACTTTTCATCTGTTTTCGGCATTGGTTTCAAATGGATATGTAATAACACAGTCAACACTCTCCAAGTAAACCATGTTTACTAAACTGATAATGAATATAAAAGTCAGCCAGAAATAATGACAAAATATGTCTGCTGCTAACAGTTCACACAGATAAATTCAGAGTGAACAGAGTCGTACTCATGCATATATAGAATCTACATGTTTATAGCAGATGTTAACTGGGAATATCTTTGGGTGCAAATTTCAAGGATGATACAAATGCCAATATAAAAACAAATCAGCCGGGCGCGGTGGCTCACGCCTGTAATCCCAGCACTTTGGGAGGCCGAGGCGGGTGGATCACGAGGTCAAGAGATCGAGACCATCCTGGTCAACACGGTGAAACCCCGTCTCTACTAAAGCTACAAAAAATTAGCTGGGCATGGTGGCACGTGGCTGTAATCCCAGCTACTCAGGAGGCTGAGGCAGGAGAATTGCCTGAACCCAGGAGGCGGAGGTTGCGGTGAGCCGAGATGCGCCATTGCACTCCAGCCTGGGTAACAAGAGCGAAACTCCGTCTCAAAAAAAAAAAAAATCATGCTACTCTATTCTATAGATTAGAAATGGAATGGTTTCCTACCAAAATAACAGGAAGCCTTGCAAAAAACCTTTTCCGTCTCACATTGCTCTGAAGCCATACAGATAAAGGAAGCGGTGTTTTTATCAACTGCCCCATGCAAAAAGCACATACCCAAACACGACTTTCTTCTGTCCATAGACGACCATAGAGAACACCGAAGAAAGCAGTGTTAAAATTACACCTAATCTCTCCATGACTGCCACAAACAGCGCCTTTCTGGGTGCTTTCCAATGACACCCCCCTGCGCTCAACTCGGCCCAGGTGTAAAAATCATTAGGAACAAGAGGATTAAGTTTCCAAACCCTAAGAATCCGGGAGACAAAGTGTCCTTTGTAACAAACAGGAAACTACGGAGGGGCAAAACACCCGAGGGAAGGCGTTAGGGTGGACAAGTCAAGAAGTGGAAATCTTGTTTAAAAACCCTGGAGGGGTGGAGGGCGCCGCTTACGGCGGGGGTCTGCCTGAGGTGGGGGGATTCTGGTGCCGCCATTGGAGGGTGGGAAGGCCAGCGGCCTCGCAAAAAGGGCCGAGGCTCCCCTGAAACGCCGCTCCACCCGCACCCCAAAGGACGAAGGGAACGGGCGATCGCCTCCCCACTCGGAGAGACTGGAAGGGTGGTAAGGCCGTTCCCCAGCGGCGCACGGAAGGCGCAGCCCCAGGAGCCCCAGCCTCCACCTCCAGAACTGAGGTGGCGACCCCACCACAAGAGGAGCGGGCCGAGGACCGCGATGTACCTTTAACGCCCGCCATGTCTCCCGAGCTGGGGCCGCGGCTGCTTCCGGCTTCCCGCCACCTCCCGGGTAGCGGGCACAAGCCAGACCGGGAGTGGCCCAGCAGATCCCGAGCCAGCCCCGGCCACGCAGAGCCCCGCTCCCAGCTAGCAAAGGCCGCGCCTGCTGGTCTAGACCCCGCCTGCTGGTCTAGACCCCACCCCCACCACTCAGAGCCCCGCCCCTGCCAATGCAGACCCCGCCCCCAGCTCGTAGAGGGCGCTCCTGCCGGTCCAGACCCCAACTCCGCCCACCAATAGCCCCGCCCCTCCTGGTGAAGAACCCCGCCCCCAGCTCTCAGGGGCCGCGCCTGCTAGTTCAGACCCCGCCCCGCTACTCAGAGCCCCGCCCCAGACGGTACAGAGCTCCTCCCCTAGCTCGTGGAGGCCTCGCCTGCTGCTCTAGACCCCGATCCCGCTACTCAGAGCCGCGCCCCTGACAATGCAGAGCTCCTCCTCTAGCTCGCGGAGACCGCCCCTGCTGGTCCCGCCTCGTCCCCGCCTTTCAGTACTCCGCTTCAGCCGGCCTAGTGCTCTTCCCCCAGCTCGCAGAGTCCAGCTCCATCCCTAAGAACCCTGGCCCCACAAAGCTCTCCCAGAATAACCCCAACCCTGCGCCCTGGGCCCTCCTCCTAGATCTTGAGCCCTCCGGGTAATCCTCAAACCCGTTCAATCTGTGGGCTAGGACCTTGGCTCCGCCCCGACCTAAGGCGCCGAGTCTCCCCGAGACAACTCAGAACGCGGTGTATGCAGCGCGGGATCCTCCCTGAGCCTCCCTGAGAACGGGGCTGTAGAAAGTGGGGAGAGGGTGGAGAGGGAGGGAGGGGAAAAGTTGCAGTGTATGGGAGAGGGACACTGACTCAATAACCACTGTTGTGTTCCCTGAGCCCCCATGTGCGTGCTTGTGTGAGAGCTTGTGCCTGTCTGCCATCACTTGGCTGTGGCAGAGGAGGGGCGGGGGCAGCAGAGGACAGCCTCTTAGGAAACAACCCTCGTCAATAACTTGATATTGGCCTAGGTTTGCCTTGCTTAATAGCAACGCTTTACTGAAATTAGTGGGGTTTTTCTTTACTCCCTGGTTTAGTTGTAGAGACGAAGACCACAGAAGCTTTTGTGTCCGAAGCTTTGATGAACCTTAAAAAAAAAAAAAAGGCTATTATTTTTGTACCTTGGGACCTCGAAGTGTACTTATCTTACTCACAGGAATGGAGAGTTCTGTTTTGGCAAGAGCAATCTAGAAGATCATAGAAAGCTGGTCCAAATGCTTCATCTTACATTTAAGGAAAGAGGTGCAGAAAGGGTAGGACTTGCCTGTCACACAGCTCTGTGGAGGAAGTTGGATTTTGGGGCACTTCCCCTCATTCTAGCTAACAGCCACTCTACCTGAAGGTATGGTCCCTCTTCTCTTGCTTTTCCTCAGTTTTGCAAAGGACTGAAAGACAAAGGAGTCTGTGGAAACCTAGCTTCCCCTGGGTACCTGAGATATATAAATTCTCACCACCATCACTTTTCAGGACCTTGCTCCGTTTACTTTTTCACAATTGTATATTGAGCATGTTATTGTCTCAAGAAATGTCTATTTGTTAAATCAATAGTGTATTTTTCTAGTTGTCAGTTTATTTTTCTAGCTCCTCTCATTTCTCCTCACCAATGGATGGCACACTCACTGAAAACAGCATTGTAATACCTGACTCACTGCAGAAGGATGCTTGGAGATCCAGTACTACACTGTACTCTTTGCTTTGGAGCCTTTGATCTACTCAAGATCATTGAGAGTGTATGCCACTTTGGCCTAAGGATTATTTTGAGCTGAAGACAATTAGGAAGAAGCAAATAGGTACAGGGTACTAGAAAAGCATTCTGCCTTCCCTTTATTTGCCAAAAAGCAGGATATAAGTTTGCAAAGATGTACCTCCTGCCTGCTCTATCAGGAAGGACAAAGATTAATCACGAGAGACAATCGTAGACCCTTGTCAGCCTGGAGACAACACAAGAAGAATCTACATGATAAACTTTAGTGTCTAGCCTTTATCTGCAACTAGTCTCCCATAAATTTGTCTTCCCACAATTTGCTGCCCCTAGAGACTCAAGGTCCTTTATCTTGTCATTTCTCTAAAAAATTTATTGTTCCTTTGCTAACATGCTGTTTTTTGGGTTTTTTTTTTTTTTTGAAATAGAGTTTCTGTCACCTGGGATGGAGTGCAGTGGTGTGAGCCCAAGTTCTAAACAAACGTTTGAGTTGCTCATCTCTGAGTGTTCCCATATGTCACCTACATGAACAATACACATGTTGATAAACTTGCTTTACTTTTGTTTGTCTTTGGCCAGTCTAATGCACCGGGCCCCAGCTGAAGAACCTAAGATACATCAAGGAAAAGATTCTTCCTCCCCTACAAGAGCTTGGTTCCCTATCATATTATTTCTAATACCTGTTAGAGCATTCAAGGGAACCTGCGTATCAGACAAGCCCTGGAAGTCTGTGGTTTTTAGCTCTCTTCTTCGTGTAGTGCTAAGCTGCTCTCATGGGGAAGATATTCTATGGGGTTAAATTTCCCTCATTCCTTTTCTATTTCCAACCACCTACTGTGTCTCCAGAGAGCCTAAACAGGGTTTGCAGGAGCCTTCCATGTCAGCCTGACTCCAGTCACACAAAAGATAAGTGATTTTAGAGCAAACTGACAACACATCAGAGGCAGAGCTTGGTGTGAGCACCCTAGGCTCAGGAGTAAGATACGGACTGGAAGGTGGTATGAAACTAAAAGCTGAGGTGTTTGCCCCAGGTTAAAAGTCTGGAATTAGAAAAATGTTGGGACAGTGTTTGTCTTGAACAAGTTTTCTGCCCACGCCAGCTGTCCTTTCCAGGTTACCAAATACCTTAAAGGGAAAGTTAGCTATTTTGCCATAGGCTTTAACCATCTGAAAAAATCTGCTTTTCTTTTGTCTGATGTTGCACTGAAAAAATTCTTCTTCCACTTACCCCTTCCACATTTTCTCAAGAATAAAAGAGTCTTCAGAAACGGAAAGTAAAACCCTAAAAACCAAATCCTTCTCCCCAACTTGGCATTGGTATGTTACTTGGATGTATAAGATCTGTGACCTCTGTCATGCTGCCTATGACTACAGTGGACTTATTGGGATGAATTTTAATATTCTCTCCTTGCATTCAATAATCTTGCACTGATGAGCTAGGTTTTATTGTCTCTATCTTACAGGTAGGAAAACAAGTTCTCAGTAACCAGTGAAAAGGGAAGCTGAGATCAAGTCCCAAACTGTTCAACTCTAAAGTCAGATGGTCAGCACTTGCACTGTTCCCCACAGTAGATCTTATGCACCGAGAAGCAAGAATTCTTATAGTAATTACAAATAACAGTAACCTCTTATGTTTCACAGGGCATCAAATCCATTCGCTGATTTAATTTTCTCCTGCATAACTATTAGTATCTTGCATATTATACAAAATATTGGCTGAGTTAACAAATATCACTAAGGTTACCATATACAGTATCATCTCTTCCTATCCTCAGGGGAAAAACGTAGCCTCAAGTTCCAGCTCTGGATAAATTTCTCCATGTTTTAGCTTCCTGAGGTAGCAGTTACAAAAACCTGTCTCACAGAGTCTTGGGGTGAATTAAATGAGAAAAAAAGAAAAAAAAATATATATATATATATCTACATATGTATGATAGCATCTAGGGCAGTGCACACAAGGTAAATGCCAGGATGTTATATCTACACTGGGGCAGGCTTGCAAGTCAGTGCATAAGTTAAATGCAAGAATGATGCAACGCTAATTGAAATCCTAAACATTAATTTTCTTCCTAATGCTCAATAACTACTTCTTTTTACATAACTATTCCCTTTACGGAAACTGCAATGCGAATCTCTTTGCCATTTTATGCAGACAGAGCTCTGTAAACCCAAGGAGATCAGGAATAAGGGCCAAGGTAAAAGTAACTTTGGGTTGCTTTTTCCTACTTGTGTTTATCCACGCCCGAGAATATGAGGTTTCCATGTAATTCCAGCTCCAATACTCACCAACACTTTGTCTTATTTACTATCAGTAACAATAACAATAATTACTATTTAGTGAGTACCCACTTGATAAGAGTTTATATATACAGTCCTTAATTCTTCCATTGCAGGGTTGTTAGAATTCTATTTTACAGGTAATAAAATTAAGACTCAGAGAGTTCAAGAAACTTGTCCAATATAAGAGTCTGTAAGGCTTGGCATAGTGGCTCATGCCTATAACCCCAGCACTTTGGAAGGCTGAGGCTGGAGGATCACTTGAGACCGGGAGTTCAAGACCATCCTGGGCAATATAGCAAGACCCTGTTTCTCCGAAGGAAAAAAAAAAAAAGAAAGAAAAAGAAAAAAAGACAAACAAAGAAAAAAAGAAGCAGGCATGGTGGTTCCCACCTGTAGTCCTAGCTACAAGAGGGCTGAGACGAGAGGATCACTTGAGCTCAGGAGTTAGAGGTTGCAGAGAGCTGTGATAGACCCATTGCACTTCAGCCTAGGCACCAGAGAAAGACCCTCTTAAAAAAAAAAAGTCTATAAATAGAAAAACTAGGATTTAAACCCAGTCTTTTAATCTCAAACCAATATTTATCACTATTCCCAAAAATCATAATTTATCTTTAGAATAATCAAAATCTGCTGCTTGACCTAGCTTCCTTGATAGATGTTTCCAGCAGGAAGACTGACTTGTTGCTGTGATAGCTATATCTGTAATTCAACTTTTTTCTTTTGTTGTTGTCTTTTTACTTGGGGGCACGGTGAACCATTTCTGGAGTTACTGCAATACCAGGCTGATGTGTGGAATGGGTGGGGCAAATTCCTATCCCATCTTCCTGCTCCAAAAAATCCATTTAAAATATTGTTCTTAGATAGAAGACATATCAGATATTAAGCTGATAAAAATAGATGCTATATTGATTTTAGGCAAAAGGCCAAAAAGCAATTGGAATTCAACTTTTTGCTCATTCCCCACACAGACTGTGTTTCATTCACAGCATTAGGATTCAACTTGAACATTCTTCCACATGTAGACAGTACGGTGATGGGTCAAGTACCTTTGAATTATAGCATTTGTTTCTAAAGAACTAAAATATCTGAGATTTTGTTTCTAAGATAAAGTCCCAGACTTCCAGGTTCAATCCCTTTGCCTCAACATACAAATTCATTTTTGAAAATCCTTTAATTTTCTGGCTAGCAGACCAGGATTTCTATGCTAATTCTTTTTGCAACATATATCATGTAGCATAATCAAAATCGTGTGTGCTTATGTGTGTGTGTGTGTGTGTGTGTGTGTGTGTGTGTGTGTGTGTGTTGGGGCAGGAGTGATTAAGTACAAATCCAAAAATCCTGTTGGATTACATTTTGGTGCATGCTTTTCACATTCTCTCCTCATAATTTTCCTTAAAAGTGAATTATGTGTATGGTGGCATTCAAGCTCATCATCGTATTCCTAGAAGTACCCAAATAACTTCGATTTCTACAAATATTTTTGAACTTTTTAATATACATTACAAATATTTTAGACCAATCACATTTTGTTGTAACATATTTACAAAACAAAAAATATATTACAATAAATATGATGAAACAGTGAATCTGATCAACAACAAGCTTTGTCACACCAGTTATTTAAAAGGAATGCAAAAACCTGTTGGTCTGCATATATTAAGAGTTTTGAGATAAATAGGGGTCCAGAATTATTATGTATCCGGAAAAAAGATGTGGGGGGAAACCCCCAAATTTAAGTAAGATTTTTTTCTCATTGCTAATTACACAATGTTTAATGTTTTAAACTGTGAACGTTGATGAATTATCCAAACATGATACAAAGCTAATGTAGTGCTATCATTTCAAAATATGTGACATCCACAGAATATCCTTTTAATTGTTATCATTATATACTGTAGTTCACACAATATCTACAAATGTGAATGAGAAAAAAAAAAAAACAGGTCACAGAAACATGTCTTACATTCCAATTTTAAATAAGACAAGCACATACTGGATCAACAGTATTTTATAATACGTTAATAAATAACACCTAGTCTGTTATGGTTACCTTGAACAGTTTATGACTGTATATTTAAAAAGAGAACATTTTCTTTGAGTTTCACATTGTCAGTAAAAGGTAAAATAAATAATGAACCTTTATAACAAAAAAAAAAGAGAGAGAGAGAGAGATCTATGTAGAACCTAAAGTATTTCTGACATGCCGCTTTTCCGGTATAGCTTGCCACAAAAAATCAAAACAAAAACAAAAAATGATTGTCTTTTCAAAACAACTTTTAAAAGCTTTTCACAATATTGAGCATGACCCTTTGAAGAATAGCATGAAAATCTTTTTGCCCATCTGCTTTGTGCATATATATATATGTATAATGCACACTGTATATGTGCACACCAAAAGATATCTACTAAAGTCACAGAATAGCAAACTGCTTACCCCTTAAAATGAAAACCAGCCAAAACAGTGATCTGAATCCAGCCAGTCTGAGATCTGGAAAGCTTTCATTCTTCCTTTGCTTTCACAAACATCCCTGTATGAACAGTGTTCCTGTGGATCCCCAACTACTTCTAAAACAATAAAGCCCACTGTAATAATCCAGTGTGTCTAGATTTGCCTTGTGGGGAGATGGGACCTGGTTCCTCAGAGCAGATACTGACAAGCCATCTGACTGTGTCTGCAGGTGAGTGCAGCTCTCTCACTGATCATGCCTCCTATTCTCATAACTCCTATTCAGTGTTGCCGTCTATTCTCGTCTTGAACTCCCAACCTCAGGTGATCCGCCCACCTTGGCCTCCAGAGTGCTTGGATTACAGGTGTGAGCCACCACGCCCGGCCCTTGCCGTCTATTCTCTTACCACTCACGAACCTAGAGAACACTGAGTCCAGATATTGGTCCTGATAAATTGTGAACGAGCCAAATTGCTTTTCCAGCTAAGAACATTTTCTTGGCTAAACAAAAGAAGAGCATTAAGCCTTATGGCAAAACTAGATGTTTCATTTAATCCCAGGTTTAGAGTTGTTATACTAGTAAGACTTTTTATTTAATCAATCACAGTTTTCTAAAGAAAAAGAAAGGGTAGCAGCCCACCTCCCTAACCAGGAATAAAAATTTT